TTTAAACTTTCAAACAGTTTTCGAACTGAATAGAATAAGTATTGAAAAGAGTACTGCATGTATATACTGGTTATACAATTTTCGGTCAGATACAATCTGATGTCAAATACTTAGTATGTGAACGCTTAGAATTTTATCGCTCACACAAAGGATTCTCGGGAACATCTTATTAAAGAAAAAAATCGTAGGATGATCCTTGAAATCGGACATTTTCCTAAGCCGCCAAGACAGATTTTCTACGCCTTTCTAGCTTTGATTATTCGACACGCGACTTGCACGCGCCATTCAATTTCCGGTCTCACGTCGTAGGAATTTGAAGACGGTTTCAAGTAAGGTAAACGTCACGGTCTTCATCTTAAGACATTGTACATTTTGAAAGTTAGAAACGCCTACCAATTTAAGCGTCAATGTCGCTTAATAAATCAAGTCCATGTTCCTTTGACAAAGAGAACAGTTGAAAATTTCCGACCTATTTATTGATTTATTGTAATGCAGGAACTTTCTTGTCAAAAAAGTAGTGCCGGGTAGATCGTCGAATTAGCTAAATAAATTGGTCTGATGAATTTAGAACCAATGTGATATAAGAATAGATTTGTCCGCAAAAATCCGTGCCGAAGCTTATTTTTACATTTAAGACTTACCAAAATGTTGTGTAGGCCTTCTATTGTTTAAATTCTGCCAGAAACTCCCGGCGTTCGGTCAGCAGTCATGTGAGCTGTGCCCGGGCTCTACGGACTTCGCAGCATTTACTAAAAGAAGAGCGTGAAAAGTCATGATCGGTGGTACTAAGTGTAACGGGGCACTGATTTCACTTGGAACATTATCATTGCCCATACTGGCTATAGACACGAGAGTTAGAATATGTTTTAACTATTTGTTATCATTTCCATAGGAAAAGATTGATTTCAATTTTCTTTATTGGATTTTAACTTAACTATGTTTTAGCACGACTGTAAGTTATTAATCCGGCGATTTTGGGTTAAAGGTTATAAATTGCCGTCTGCTACTGATATCCGAGATGAACAAACTGCGTCTACTCACGTGGACGTCTCGTGAAATTGTTGATCTTTTCAAGACACTTTCCGTGTTACTGTCACTTGCAGTTTTAGACTCCATTTGTTGTAAGACTGCGGTAAATAAGTCTTAATTGATCTGAAATTGTAGATGTTCTATAATGGTAAAGTTTGAAAGACTAGTCACCATTCAATATAGCTCAAAGGTCGAAAAGTCTTCTAAACACTTGCCCTTAACCAAATGGTTACTCGCATCTTTTCGCCCCTATGTCAAACTTCGGATAATGTTTAAGAAAATTTAGCATTGTCACCTATAAAAATGTAACATTAAAAAACAACTTTTTAAAAAGCATTCGTGACTTTTTATCATATAAAGTAAATGGTGCATATAGATAACCATATTATATTCATTAAAAGTTTGGCTCGTTTGAAAAAATCGTCTTTTTTGCATTTTTCAGGATTCAAATGTGAATTGAAAATTGGGAATATATTAGGCTTTTATTTTGTTTTACTGAAAGCATCGTGGTTTCCTTTAATGTGACGAAGTGATTTTGGAAACTTGCTTGTTTAAGGTTACTGTTTCAAATCGACGATTCTTTGAATGCAAAAATATCATACAGTGTTTTGCCGACATACTATTACTGATCAACTTGGTACTCAAGTATCTAGAATGTAGCATGGCAATAGTACAAGGGAGACAATTCAATATATAATGACTACTCTGTAGAAATTATAACTATATTTTCTTCAGCTATCCTTCATGATGTGTCATTATCATGACATTAATTCAGGTATCACTAGAGAATATAGCTGTACCTTGCAAGCACATGTAGATAGATCGATCGATCAAAATTTCTAATTACATTAGTTGATTAAGCTAATTCATTACCTGTCCCGATAACCTTATATCCCAGGTGAAATGAAAACAATAGACATGACACTTTGAGATGAAAATTAATCAACGAATACATCGCTCATGTCATTGACACACAGAGTTCCTTCACGCGGGAAATTCCACGTGCAGGGAAACAGACGACAATGAAAAATATCGAGAGAAAGGTGAAAATAAGTAAATTACAGAACATTTTCTTTTGGACTTGAGCTACACTCCTCATCGTTCCATAAAGAAAGTACACTATATATGTTCTAAGTACAAAATAAGTGAATAACACATGTACAGTACAGATGAAAGAAAAAGACTGCATACATACATTATTTATTAAAACACATCACAATGCACAGAAAGTTATACAGTTGTACAATTATAAAACTTATTTTTAATTCCATCGGTCAATTCGTGCTCACTTAACTTTGCAGACGGTTTTGTAAATCTAAGGACAATGTAAGTCATTTTCAACCGCTTTATTATAAGAATTACTTTTCAGTATTGTAACTTACTTCAAAAGTAACTATACAGTAGATCAACTATAAATAAGCTTACACAGAAAAAAAAAGCATATAATGTTTAAGGCTATTCGTGTCATATTCTGTTAAAATCTAAAACTAAAATGCTTACGACAACTTATATTGGACCAAATTAAAATTTGGCATACCTTTGAAAGAAAAAGACCTGTACTGTAGACATGAAATGATCCTTGAGGAAAACGTATGAGACTTCAAACATGTATGCTTTCTTCTACAATTTTCCTTTGAAACCAATTGAGCATTTGATTTTTAAAAAATACTTAAAATTTTAAAGTTTAAGCCGTTATGCCATAGAACAACAAATTTTTATCATTGAGGAGTGTTATGATTGCAAAACAAAATCTCTGAGCAAAAGATGGTAGTTGATAATTTTTCTCTGACTTTTCAGAGATTTTGCTTTGCTATTTCCAAGGTCTTCTTTGATAGCAGCAGATTTCACCATTGTCATTCTATCCGGTGAGCATGTGGACTATACATCATGAAACTGTCTCCGGTTTTAGACCCTTGTAATACAAAGCTGAGCGATGTAATACAGTGTGTCATTCTTTCACCGGAGACCATTATGAACATGTAAAGGTAGAATCAATTACAGGCAGAATTACCTGTGGTGAATGACGATTACAATAACAAGCTTTTATTGTAATTAAACTTGTGGCGTGCTGTTTCCATTATTGCATGCGGTAGAAACTACCTTTTACAGCCATGTTCGGAATTGTCCCACGAGATTTGATTGCAATGTATATGCCAATATGATCAAAAGTTTCAAAGACTTGATAGGTAGGATTCAATATGTGAACATGAGTCACTCGGGCATGGGCTAAAAGCACATATGCTTGACAGTTTTTCGTGAAATTCATAAAATTGCACGCAAAATGCTCTTAAATAGAAATCTCTTTAAAAAGGTACAAGAAGTTCGACTTGATCTGCCGAGTAAAAGTAAAAATATAAGATTGATAGAGGAAAAAGTCAGAGGTGATCAAATCTTATGAGGTTGAACTTTAATTACCTCACCAGATGGTAGTTTTCCAACCGAACGAATTCGTTTTATACGTAAAATTATCGTTATTAAAAAGTATTTATGGAAAGTTTTGGAACACCTTATCTAAAGAAATCTGTTATTAATATAATTAAGATAATGTACACTGTTTATTTTTTGGTCATGTCAGTACAGTTTTTAAAACGCGCTGGCAATAAAAGTTCCATTGCAAAGCAATGCATGATGGAATATGATATGATTTCAAATTGTCGGATTTTATTACTGACTTTATCATTGGGCACAATTTTCATTGAAAAAAACTTCAAATACTGATAACACGGTAGAAGTGTATCATTTGGGTATTCTTCTGAAATATTTCTGTAAAACAAAATGTTGATAAGAGTTCTAAAGTGATTTAGACAATAAATACTGTATGAACATTTATATGATGAATGATAATATTTTGTTCTTGATCAATTCATTATCTGCTATATATATAGATAATGTCATATCGGATTATGTATCTAACATTATTCAAATACATCCATGTATATTTTTTTTCGTGGTTTGTTTTTGGGTATGCATACTTAATATAACATGTATCAACATAATTATTTATGGTACTACAGACCTTCCATAGTATACTCGAACCCCATGATACCGGTGGCTCCACTTAACGTACAGTTGTATAAATTAATGAAAATGTAAAGAAAGCTTTAAAAAAAAGAATAAAAAAATAAAGTTTAAAACATAATTAATGATTGCGGGGCCTAATGTACATCCGTGGAAATCAGCTTTTCATTACCATTTTTTTGTCTTATTTTTTTTACTTGAAGTGATCATTGCTTTAAACAAATTTTGCAAGCGCATAAAATAAACTCCACATTTCATGGAATCTAGAATGACAAATCTGAGATCCAACAGCTAAATCCGGGGCCTCAAATTAAAATATAATAAGATTTAAATAAAAACATCCGCAAAGATATATAACCAAAAGCGAAATGTAATTTTATAAATGAATACACACTTTTACCGTTTAGCTTGTTGGACACTTTTATTGTTTAGATTGTTGGACACTTTTACCGTTTAGCTTGTTGGACACTTTTATTGTTTAGATTGTTGGACACTTTTACCGTTTAGATTGTTGGACACTTTGTTTATATAATCAGTTTGATAAAAACAAACGCCTTTCTTTAGCTTTCGACGTTTTGTCTTCATCAGAAAAAATGACGTTTAATTTCTTAGTGGGTTAATTTTCATAAATATTCTCATAAACTCTATAAAATATTCTCATAAACTCTCTAAGAAAATATTTTATGTAATATTTTTTTATGTAATTGAGGCTTATCTGCAATAACTCTTGACGCTGATGTGATGTCAAATGAACATTGCTTGAATAGGTCCCTGGTTATATGAAATATTTTGACGAGCTTTTGAGAAAACAGAGTAAAAGTGGCTTAGAAAACTTACCATGGTTTTAACAATAAGTTCGTTACAATACTTTAATCCAATTCCTATAATTTTTAGAAGGAAGACCGATTGGTTACGAAAAGTTTTGAGGACGAAACTAGTAAGATGCAGAACTATCCTTTTTCGTATAAACAGGAAGTAGGAAGTTTTAGGAGAAGAAAATACAGGAACATTTTGTACAAATGCTGCATTATTAAATTGAGTGCATTGTAAAGAGTATAGATCAATAGTTTTAATCATACTGATTATTTTTTCACTGCATTTTAAGTATATCAAATTATTAGCGCTAGATCGAACAAGTGTCAAGGTAAATTAGATTGTTGACCACAAAGGATAGTTGCAGAACTGTATAAACTAGTGAGTTTGATCTCTTATAACGCTTGAATGCTTGATACGTTTAGTAAAAACGTTTTGTTTCACTGGATTAAATTATGATTAAATGCACATGCAATATATATTATGTTATATCAATTATCATTATGTTATGAGATAAAACATTAATCAAAAGTATTTTGACCTGCCAAAGTTAGATTCTGAAATATGTTTGTTCTGAGTCAGAATCTCGCTAGATGGGAGATATTGCCCATATAAACATAGCATGCATAGTACAATTAGTTGAACTTGAATAAACATATGATAATAATAAGTTACAGGTATATAGATACCCCAATACCACAATTATAGGCTAATATAGCCCTCACCAACAAAATTTGCTGGACGTTATTAATATCTTGTAGAAGTCGCTGAGAAGCTTCTCATTAATCTCATTCATCTTAAGGCTGCAGAGCCAGACAAAATAAGACTGATTGTTCTAAAGACAGTCAGCAAAGAAATATCATTCATTTTGACCAAACTATTCCAAAAGTCCCTGCAATCAAGCACTCGCTAACTCGGCGAGATGTATGGTAAATGGCAAATATATTAGACAGTTTCAAGGTAAAACGCTGCCAACACTGCCCACTATTATTTACCTGTATCCTGTATGAAAACCCTGGAACACATTATCTTTTCTAATATAACTAGACACTTTACAAACAACATGGTCTATGATTTGCAGCATGCTTTCCTGGAAGAGGTTTTGTCTTCCACAACTCCTAAATATGTTGGTGATATTTTCTAATCTTTAATAAAAAATTCAATTTAACTTCATCATTCTTCACTTTTCAAAATTTATGACATGTTAAACCTTGAAAAACTTCTCTATAAGGTGCATTTCTATGGCATAAGGGGAGTAACTCTCTAAATCAAGTCTTTCTAGACTACAGGTAATAAACTTATCACTTAATATAATCAGTAGTAGAAAATGGGTCCATTGTTGTCAACTACTATCCAAGACTCCTCAGGTGTCCCTCAGGGCTCTGTCTAAGGACCTGTTGCTTCTATACAAGACTCCCCAGGTGTCCCCAAAGGCTCTATCTTAGGACCTGTCGCTACTATCCAAGACTTCTCAGGTGTCCCTCATGGCTGTATCTTAGGACCTGTTGCTACTATCCAAGACTTCCCAGGTTTCCTCCAGGGCTCTATCTTAGGACCTGGTGCTACTATCCAAGACTCCTCAGGTATCCCTCAGGGCTCTATCTTATGATCTGTCACTTCTATTCAAGACTCCTCCGGTGTCCATCAGGACTCTATCTTAACACCTATAGTTACTATCCATGACTCCTCAGGTGTCCCTCAGGGCTCTTTCTTAAGACCTGTCAATACTATCCAAGACTTCCCCAGGTGTCCCCATGGTAACTGTCTTAGGACCTGTCGCTACTATCCAAGACTTCTCAAGTGTCCCTCAGGGCTGTATCTTAGGACCTGTTGCTACTATCCAAGACTTCCCAGGTTTCCTCCAGGGCTCTATCTTACATATTGAAGACTCCTCAGGTGTCCCACAGGGCTCTATCTTAGGACCTGTTGCTACTATTCAAGACTCCTCATGTGTCCCTTAGGGCTCTATCTTAAGACCTATCACTACTATCCAAGACTCCTCAGGTGTCCCTCAGGGCTCTATCTCAGGACCTGTTGTTACTATCCAAGTCTGCTGAGGTGTCCCTCAGGGCTCTATCTTAGGACCTGTTTCTTCTATCCAAGTCTCCTCAGGTGTCCCTCAGGGCTCTTACTTTGGACCTGTTGCTACTATCCAAGTCTCCTCAGGTGTTTCTAAGGGCTCTACTTAGGACCTGTTGCTACTATCCAAGTCTCCTCAGGTGTCCCCTAGGGCTCTGTCTTAAGATCTGTCGCAACTATCCAAGACTCCCTAGGTGTCCCTCAGGGCTCTGTCTTAAGATTTGTCGCTAATATCCAAGACTTCTCATGTGTTCCTCAGGGCTCTACCTCATGACCTGTTGTTACTATCCAATTCTGCTTAGGTGTCCCTCAGGGCTCTATCTTAGGACCTGTTGCCACTATCCAAGACTCCTGAGATGTCCCTCAGGTCTCTATCTTAAGACCAGTTGCTGTTTTAGGACCTGTTGCTACTATCAGAGTCTCCTCAGGTGTCCCCCAGTGCTCTGTGTTAGGACCTTTTGCTGCTATCCAAGACTCCTCAGGTGTCCCTCAGGACTCTATCTTTGGACCTGTTGCCACTATCCAAGACTCCTAAGGTGTCCCCAGCAGGCTTCGCCAAACTGCTGAAAAATTTGCCTGACATTCGGTCAGACAAACTTTCAATTCTTGTCTGACCGAAAGAACTTTTGTCTGACCGAATTTTTTTCCCCAAATATATGTATATGGTAATACCTTGGTGTTTTTTTTTAAAGTCATAACAACTTTTAAAGGTTTGCAACACAATTTTATTCCTTTAAATAAAACATTAGTTTATCCAGATTGATGGACTCACAGGCGCTAGTCACATAATCAAATATTTTACATAACCAGTCTATATATGTATATAAAGATATATAGTATATAGCCCATATAAAACTTTAAAAAGTTTGTTTCAAGCACCTGTGGATGGACTCTGTCTGGAAATCAAAACATTCATGATCAAAGCAGCCATTTTTCCATTTACCGGGTACCCACAAATTTTCTCGGCGGGCGCCTGGACTCGTATTCCTTTTGTTTCGCTTTTTTTTCTTCATTTGATAGTTTACGATTTTTGCCGGGCGTAGCGCCAGCGTAATAATGTAGTAACACCGTCATTTTGGTTATTGACAGTCGTATGTATTGGACACTTATAATGAAACGGCGAATCAAAACTCGTTTTACATTTTTTTAATCAAGGGAGAAAACTCGGTCTTGATCGGTCTTGGATATATCCCGGTATTCGTACCGGACATAAGGTCCGGAACTCCGGGAAAAAAAATCGGACCGGCCTGATTTTTGCTGGACATGTCCGACGGTCCGGCAACTTTCGCGAAGCCTGCCCCAGGGCTCTATCTTAGGACCTGTTGCTACTATCCAAGACTGCTCAGGTGTCCCTCAGGGCTCTATCTTAGGACCTTATGCTACTACCCAAGTCTCCTCATGTGTCCCTTAGGACCTGTCGCTACTATCCAAGTCTTCTCAGGTGTCCCTCAGGACTCTATCTTAAGACCTGTTGCTACTATCCAAGTCTCCTCAGGTGTCCATCAGGGGCTCTATCTTATGACCTGTTGCTACTATCCAAGTCTCCTCAGGTGTCCATCAGGGCTCTATCTTAGGACCTTATGCTACTACCCAAGTCTCCTCATGTGTCCCTTAGGACCTGTCGCTACTATCCAAGTCTTCTCAGGTGTCCCTCAGGACTCTATCTTAAGACCTGTTGCTACTATCCAAGTCTCCTCAGGTGTCCATCAGGGCTCTATCTTATGACCTGTTGCTACTATCCAAGTCTCCTCAGGTGTCCATCAGGGCTCTATCTTAAGACCAGTTGCTACTATCCAAGACTGCTCAGGTGTTCCTCAGGGCTCTGTCTTAGGACCTGTCTTGTTTTCTTAAAATTATAGTCCTGTCTCTGTAAAACACTCTGCAGTTTGATCATGATGACACGGCTATGTATCCCTCTCCCTAACAATTATTTAGGAATATAGCATTCTCTAATAAGGTTGACAGTACATATTACGTAATTCTCATAATCTTACAATACCTAACTGGTAATTCTTAGGATCAGGCTATTCTAAGTTCTGCAAATACCTTACAGGCAATAATCAGGGTCTGACAATACCGAATAGGTAATTCTCAGAGGCTCACAGTCAGTACCAAACAGGCAAATCTCAGGGTCTGACAATACCTATTAAACAGGCAATTCTCAGTGTTTTACAATACATGTACATAACCAGTGTAAGAAATTAGGATTTGAATCAACTAGGCTGGTGGGACTACCAGATTGGAATAATTACTAGCCAAAAAGACATTTCACTAGCACAATTCATTTATTCATTTATATTGCCTATGAAATTACAGTAGCCTGGTCGGGCTTGTTACTGTGAAAAGTTGGTAGCCTGAGGTGAAATTTAGTGGTCAGGGGCTATCGGACTACTGCTAATTTCCAACACTGCATAACAGCCTTAACAGGTAATGCTCGGAGGCAGACAATATCTTATGGTTTCACAATAATAAATATGTCATTAGTAGACATTACATCATGTTTGACAATGATTAATAAAATAGGGTTTGATTGACAATTATTATCTGTAGGGTTAGACAATACTTTATATATATTTGATATGATTTTTTTCATACATGTGAACTTTTTTTTATGCCCCCGGGCATATAGTAATTGAACCGTCCATCCGTCCGTCCTTCCGTCTGTCCGTACAAGGTTCTACCTGTACCAATGGCTTCTTAGTTTACACACTTACTAATCAATACAAAGTACATGATCTGGTCAAGTTACATAACTATGGCTTCCATATTTACCAAGTTATTGCCCTTTTCAGCACTTAGAAAATGAATAATGGTTAACCTAAAATGGTAAGTTGGAAATATATTAAGTTCTATCTGTACTAATGGCTTCATAATTTCCACACTTATGAATACAAAGTACATGATATTGCCAAGTTTTATAACTGTTTCATCCATATTTCCCAGTTATTTCCCTTTTTTCACTTTGAAAATAGGGCCTTGTCTGGTTAACCTATTCCGGCAAGTTGGATTTATCGGAAATTTCTCCTAATTGCTTAATTTATTTAATGATATCTTGCATATTTGGTAGGTGGATACCTTTAATGGTCCTCTAATTTTTTGTGGAGTAAGTGGTCTCTAGGGTCAAGGTCAAGGTCACTGGTTTAGAAAAATAAATTTAAACATTTTTACTCATACAGTCTTTATTTTTTGGTTGATGTCTTTCATGTTTAATACAAACATGCCAAGGGAGGTCCTCCTTCTTTGGGTATAGTAAGGGGTCATTTGGGTCAAGGTCAATATCACCAATGTCAAGGTCACCAATG